CTATCACCCATGATACGCCTGTAGATGTGAAGTGGGTCTAGATTGCCCATATGCTATAGAAAATATCATATTGGTCACTCACTCTATATGTCCCCCCTGCTCATTTTCTATTATTTCATTTACTCTTTTTTTTTTGTAATCATTGTAATTTTTAATAAAGTTTTGAGAGGTACAGGAATAAAAGCTAAACAATGGCTGAAAACAAAATACCAATGGTGGAAATAACATGTCTGCAGTTCAATAAGCATTGCATGGACACACCAATAAGAAACACACATATACATAAATAAAAGTTACTAGACTTAGATTGAGTAAACCAGATTTTTTGAAAATAATTGAGTCATAAAGCATCTAGTAGATCCAATACCTTAAAAATTATAACAAGATATATCTTGGATAATTTACCAAGTTTGACATATAAAATAGTTGACATATATAGAATAGATAGGTGCTAGATATGTGAAAAGATACCTAACAAGGAGGTGGGGAGGGGGTGGGGCTGACCTGCACTTTTAACTAGGCAGGGGGTAACTAAGGTTTGCGAGGAGAAGTGGCATAACAGGTAGGTGATCCAAAGATAGAACCATCCCATATGTCCCACATTTTATGAAAAAAGTTTGATACTGTTACTCGAGATAGCAGTCAAATATTCCATTGCTCTTACCTCCACTATAACCAAAATAAGTTGACACTGTGGAGGATTTCTAGTACTGAGGAATCAATCTCCTGGCTGCTGTCAGTATGTGAGCACTGAGTTTTTTTTCAGAGCTTTTAGATATTCCAGTAAATGGAAGTCTCAAGAGATAGTGAAGGGGATCCAGTGGTAAACATACCTCCAGAACTAGCTCCAGGATATTCTGGGCCGAAGTTCAAACTCCCTGCATTTGAGGGCAAAACCAAAAAATGTGAGCTAGCATCCCCCTATCACCCATACATCTCCAACATGTCTCCGGGACTGCCATGTTAAAAGAATTTAAGACAGTGGCGGATTTATACCAGTACATCAATACTTTATAGATTTTTTTCCTTATATGTAACACAGTGAGACGTTTTAGAAGCTGCTTCCCATATCTTATGCCGAAAAGTTAGTGAATAGGGTGTTGAAGGACCTCAGCCCATTTTCATATGAGAATGGGTTTCTTCTGTCAGAGGTGAGGCCTCCTGTAATAACTTACAGTATATAGGGTGGAAATAAGGTGTGTCTGAGTTGGGCCCAGTGTACAAGTACGTTCAATTCCAGTAGGATAGTCTAAGGATAATGAAGGCCTTAAAGTGGAGAAAAAGTGTCTAAATTGTAGATATGTGTAAAACAACCTTAGGGGATATAGATTTTTTTCCTAGCCCCAGTTTACTCGAAGGAAAACAATTTTCGAGCTACCAGGTGGATTAAGTGGTGCAGTTGAAATATGCCAGCTGGGCCCAAGGGAGCATTTGAGTATAAGTCAGGCTATCTGGTAGGGCAGGGTTATATAGCACATTAGTCAAGTAGGAGCATGGCGGGGCTAAATTGTATTTTTTATTGCAGATACACCAGATCTGTGAATAACATAGGGTTCAAAAGTCAACATTTGAGCGTGGGAAATGAGTTCAGACACATCATCAGTGGAGCAAATCAGCGAGGATTGGTATATAGACATAGCTTAATTTAACCATCTATTACTGGGCAATCTAACTGACCAAGAAAGAATATGTTGTAAATGAGAGGCCAAGTAATATTTTATCAAGTTTGGTACTCCCAATTCTCCTTTAGAGCGGGGTGAAAGGAGGACTCAGCAATATACCATGTGCACCTTATTGTGCCATATGAAATTGAGGAAGGATTTCTGTAGAGAGCATAGTTGTACCATAGGTACTTTGACCGTTAACTTTGGCATTCTGGACATTTCAATACATTAATTCTACCTAGAAAGGATATGTTATAAGTATCCCATTATTTCAATGAGTTTCGTATATCCTTAAATAAGGTTATAAAATTAGCCTCAAATAGAGATGAGTATGTTGGAGTAATGTGGGTACCAAGATATTTTGTAGAGCTGGAGCACGAGTGGTAATGGTAACTGTTCAGGAGAAGAGCAAGCTGTTCTGAAGAAACATTAAGAGGCACAGCTTCAGTTTTAGAAGTATTCATTTTATAGTTCGACACATCACTGAAGGTTTGAAGTAGCTTATGTAAGTATGAGGATCAGTAATGGATAGCAAAATATCATCTATGAATAATGATAACTTAAACTTCTTTTGTCTAACTCCCGTAATGTCTGGCTGTAGTCTAATCGTTGCTGCTAGGGGTTCTAAGCATAAAACAAAAAGGAAGGGGATAAAGGACATCCCTGTCTAGTACCATTATATATTCGAATGTGATCTGACACGGCACATAGAAGTTTAACTTGTGCCGTGGACGATGAGTACAGTGCAGTGATAGATTTTAAAAAAGAGGTCCCTGTAAGCCAATATGATGGAGCGTCGTTAACATATAAGGCCAGCTCAGCCTTTCAAATGCATTTAGAGCATCTAGGCTCAAAAGTAGGGTCGGGGTTTTAGTGTTATTGATTACATCTACCAGGTCTACTGTCCTTCTTGTGTTGTCTCCTGCCTGTCTAGCTAGCACAAAGCCAACTTTATCTAGATGGATAAGTTTAGGTAAGATGGGGGTTAATCAGTTGGCCAGAATTTTTGTAAAAATGTAGTCCAAATTAAGAAGAGCAATGGGTTTATAGTTACCCAGTGAAGCAGGGTTCTTTCCAGCTTTTGGTATGACTGTTATATATGAATGCTGAAACAGGGGGTGGGGAGTTTCACCCTCTAGCAAAGAGTTATAGAAAGCCAGCAAAGAGGGAGCCATCTGGGCCTGGCAATTTATTTTAGGGGTAGGTCCTTGACCACTTTTTCCAACTCTTTGTAAGTGACGTCACCATTAAGAGCGGCAATGTCTGCAGGTTTGAGTTTGGGTAGGCAAAGATTATACATATTAGCATCAAAAGCCTTAACATTAAAAGGTGGATGATATTCTGGGGAGAGACATTTATACAGTTTACTATAAAAATGACCAAAGGTTTTAGCTATGTTATGAGGGCAGTAAGTAGGAGTTCCATCTCATTGGAAAATAAAATCAGGAGCTGTTTGTGGGGGTCTCGCTCATAGCTTGTTCACTAGCATCCTATGGGGCTTATTAGTGAATTCGTAAAACTTTTGTTTCATCCACAGCATGCTCTTCACCAGACCATCTGCAACTATTGCCTTAAGCTGATTACTGAATAGGACTACAGTATGTTGTTTAGGGAAAGCTAAGACTCTAGTTTCAGATCTAGTGAGCGGTTGCAATAGATCCGGTCTAAAGCTGGCCATACATGTGTAGATTTTCGGAGAAGAATATTTGTATGAAAAGTCATACCAAAATTCTTTGAATATTTGGGGAATGGACGAATATCGTTCGAAAATTGTCTTTTGCTTTTAACATTCACATTTAAAATGAATGTGATTTCTGAATGATAGCCACATATACTGACTGAAAATTTGTTCGATAAAGGTTTTCCTTCCTGCCTCTTTGAATTTTCCCGTCACTGCGGACAAAAACAAACATAGATTTGACCCCACTAACGATCCCCCCCAGAAGGATAGCTAAATAAGGTGCCAGTCTATTGGAGTATCTTTTCCCAGAAACCCAGACATTGCATAACTTTGTCTTTAAAGACACAACTGATTCTGTAAAATGCTTTTTCAGCATCTATGGACAGAATTAAGCAGCAGAGATTGTGTGCTTCTATGGCCACTGTGGATATAGAAGACTTCCCGAACAAGGTATTGAGCAAGGGCTCTGGGCTCACATTAAAATCTGTGCTCACTATTAATACAACCGAGTTGAATTCAGTCTAGTGCTGATAACAGGCTCTGCGTCTAGGTCTGTGCACCCATCTCTGCGTATGTATAAACTTTACAGTCTGTACAGTCTGTGAGTCTGTACAGTAGATATGTACCCATTAACTTTATATGGGCTGCCTGGATGCAGCTCAGCGGTAGTAAAACAAAGTAAACAAATAGCTCTGTGCACTGCCTGAGGCTGAATGCTGATATGAATGAGCCCTATTTTCTGCGGTTTAAGGCACCTGAGTTTTGCCTACAGCCTGTTGCCTTCATTAGGAGGACAGAACTCTCTAACCCCTTAAAAGTCAAGCAAATTTAGCAAACTACAATGAACAATGAGCCAACATATTAACAACTATACAAACAAAACAATAGCCTAAACACACCTGTGGGGTTAGACAAAACAAAAAGGGCTGTGGCCAACCACAGGGGTATGTCTCCAAATAGGAGAAATGTTCCCCATAACCCAGAGATGCAGCTAATGGGGGTGAATGGGCAACCATGGATTAGGTCAGACACTCCATCAGGTTAAAACATGTAAACCATACTGTATATCATCAAGTGTCTGATAAATGGATAAAAAATATTTGCAAACTGTCCACGAGGGTGAGCCACGGACCAATATTAAAGCTTGTACTGTGCACCTAAGGCATATTAACCAGGTCTCTGTGAAGATTACTGCAGCAAGCAAAAAAAAATTAAGATAAAAAAGATGGAAAGTATCACCTTTAATGTGATTGTTCACAAAACACCTGTTCTTCAAGTCATCTCTAAAGATTATACGGTGGAACCAGCAAGTTTCCCTACCAGTGTGTGTGAATAAAAAGGCACAACTGTGCAGTGTCAATTCACAGTCTGTGAGCTAGTGAGAGGACTTGGGGAGGGTAGTCCACACTTCTAAGAGACTACAGAGTCTTTGAGGCTGAAAGTAAAGTCTTGCTGAACTAAGAGCAGTAAGCCTTTAGAGTCAACTATCTGCTGTTCAGATCAGTATAATGATACGGGGCAGGTAAATACGGTGACATGGCCTTTTAACACATCAACATTTAACCAATATATATTTTGGAATTACTAAATTCTTTGGTAGGATACTTTTTTGTAAGTTTTCATGATATAATATAAAAAACATATGTATTTATTACCTCTATAGTATTATATTTAATGTAGAAGTGGCTTGCAGTTCTGCCCAGGTCTGTGGAGGAGAAGAAACCAGTTCTCTCTTCAAAACGAATCATGCGAGCTTTGTCCAATTTACGCCCCACTTCAATAACCAACTGTTCTCTGTGCTTCTCTAGCAAGGGGTCCATCTGTTCACCAACCCAAATGAAAAACAGAGTAAAGGTTACAGTTATAAATTTTATATAGTTTAATCACACTGGTATCTATACCTCCATCCATTTTAAAACATTTTAGCTGAATGCAATCATTTCTAAAAGCAATGAAATCCCTGGTGTGTTGTAAAAATATTCTTAAATAGAATTTTTTTTTTCTAAAGATGTATAAAATGGAGTACCTAGGTTGGGGCAGTGGTTGTTGTCTGTTCCGTGTACAGCATGCTGCAGGGTGCCACATGAGTGAATGCCCAGCTGGCAGGATTGAATAGGCCTTCAGCTAGGTGACAGTGGATAGCAGAGGGAGAATGAACACACAGAAAGGAAAAGTAGATGGTAACATAGTCGGCTGCTGTAGGAACAGTGAGAGGTAAGGTGAGAGGGCAGTGTGTGTGTATTTTGTCACTGACTGTATCCGTTTACTGCCCACATATTGCCAAGATTGTCATTTGCTGCCTGTAGATTGTAACAACTTCCTGTTTGATGCCCACATATTGTCACCACTGTCTGTTTGCTGTGCTAATATTAGACTATACTTGCACTATATACACCAGCTGTTCTGAATGTTCATATGGTCAGTGGGGTTAACACAATGATTTGCAAGGCTCCAACCACTATTCTGGAATAAAAATAAATAAATAAATAAATTATATATATATATATATATATATATATATATATATATACACACACACATATATATACACACACATATACAGTTGTGTTCAAAATAATAGCAGTCAGACATCACTAACCTGATCATCAATCACTGTTTTTGGTAGAAATATTTCTACATGGCAAATAATTTACTAGCAGGTGTAGTAGAGTAATAGAAATCCAACAGACCCAACATTCATGACATGCATGCTGCTGATTCTGTGTAATGGAATCACTAATTGAAAGGGGCATGTTCAAAATAATAGCAGTGTAGAGTTCTATTAGTGAGGTCATTCATTCTTTCAAAAACAGGTGGCAATTATTGCTCTTATTTAGGGAAGGAAAGCAGCAAATGTTGTACATGCTGGTTACAATGCATTTCTCTCTGAAATTCTGAGGAAAATGGGTCGTTCCAGACATTGTTCAGAAGAACAGCGTACCTTGATTAAAAAGTTGATTGGAGAGGGGAAAACATATAAAAGAAGTGCAGAAAATGATAGGCTGCTCAGCTAAAATGATCGCAAATGCTTTAAAATGGCAACCAAAACCTGAAAGACGTGGAAGAAAGTGAAAAACTACCATTCGAATGGATAGAAGAATAGCCAAAATGGCAAGGACTCAGCCAACAATCAGCTCCAGGAAGATCAAAGAAGGTCTAAAGTTACCTGTGAGTACTGTTACAATTAGAAGACGCCTATGTGAAGCCAAGCTATCTGCAAGAAGCCCCCACAAAGTCCCACTGTTGAAAAAAAGACGTGCTGAAGAGGTTACAATCTGCCAAAGAGCACATTGACTGGCCTAAAGAGAAATGGCGCAACATTTTGTGGACTGATGAAAGTAAGATTGTTCTTTTTGGGTCTAGTGGCCGGAGACAGTTTGTCAGACGACCCCCAAACACTGAATTCAAGCCACAGTACACTGTGAAGACAGTGAAGCATGGTTGCGCAAGCATCATGATTTGGGGATGTTTCTCATACTACGGTGTTGGGCCTATTTATCGCATACCAAGGATCATGGATCAGTTTGAATACATCAGAATACTTGAAGAGGTCATGCTGCTTTATGCTGAAGAGGAAATGCCCTTGAAATGAGTGTTCCAACAAGACGACCCCAAACACACCAGTAAACGTGCAACATCTTGGTTCCAGACCAACAAGATTGAAGTTATGGAGTGGCCAGCCCAATCCCCGGATCTTAATCCAATAGAAAACTTGTGGAGTAACATCAAAAATGCAGTTTCTGAGGCAAAACCAAGAAATAGAGAAGAACTGTGTAATGTAGTCCAATCATTCTGGGCTGGAACACCTGTTCACAGGTGCCAGACGTTGGTTGACTCCATGCAACACAGATGTACAGCAGTTCTCAGAAACAGTGCTTATACAACTAAATATTAATTAAGTGATTCAAAGGAAAGCAAAATCTTCAAACATTTTTCAGTTTATATAGTGAATGTTTGAGTTTGTAAAGAAGAATACAAACACTGCACAGTCTAATATTCACTTTTCTTCAATTTTGTTTTTAGAGGAACAACACAAATTTGATATATTTTTCTTCATGTTTTGATTTGGCATAAAATGTGTAGTGTTCCCAATGCATTTGTGTGTATGGAAATAAAAGATATTAGAAGGATTTTGAGCTTTATTCACTTTTTTCAACACATTGCTATTATTTTGAACACAACTGTGTGTGCGTGTATATATATATATATATACACACACACATATATACATACATACACACACACTTTATTGCCAAAAGTATTGGGACACCCCTCCAAATCATTTGATTCAGGTATTTCAATCACCTCCATGGCCACAGGTGTATACAGTCAAGCACCTAGCATGCAGACTGCTTCTACAAACATTTGTGAAACAATGGGATGCTCTCAGGAGCTCCTTGAATTCAAGTGTGGTACTGTGCCAGGTTGCCACCTGTTCAATAAGTACATCCGTGGAAGTTCCTTGCTACTAAATAGTCAACTGTTAGTGGTATTATAACAAAGTGGAAGCAACTGGAAACAACAGCAACTCAGCCAAGAAGTGGTAGGTCATGTAAAATGAGTGGGGTCACCGCATGCTGAAGCGAACAGTGCACAGAAGTCGCCAACTGCCTGTAAAGTCAAAAGCTAAAGACCTCCAAACTTCACGTGGCCTTCAGATTGGCACAACAGTGCGCAGAGAGCTTCATGGAATGGGTTTCCATGGCCGAGCAGCTGCATCCAGCCTTATATCACCAAGTGCAATGCAAAGAGTCGGCTGCAGTGGTGAAAAACACGCCATCACTGGACTCTACAGCAGTGGAGACGTGTTCTCTGGAGTGACTAACCATGCTACTCTGCCTGGCAATCCGATGGACATGTCTGGGTTTGGCGGTTGCCAAGAGAACAGTACTTGCCTAACTGCTTTGTGCCAAGTATAAAGTTTGGTGGAGTGGGGGTTAAGGTATGGGTTAGTTCCAATGAAGGGAACTCGTAAGGCGTCAGCATACCAAGACATTTTGGACAATTTCATGATCCCAACTTTGTGGGAACAGTTTGGGGATGGCCCCTTCCTGTTCCAACATGACTGGGCACCAGTGCACAGGCAGTCTGCAAACCCAGGCGCTTGAATTTATACACCTGTGGCCATGCAGGTAAGTGGAACACCAGAATCCAATGATTTGGAGGGGTGTCCCAATACTTTTGGCAATATAGTGTATGTGTGTGTGTGTGTGTGTATATATATATATATATATATATATATATATATATATATATATATATATACACACACACGCACACACACACACAGAGGTGAAACTCAAAAAATTAGAATATCGTAAGAAAGTTCATTTATTTCAGTAATGCAACTTAAAAGGTGAAACTAACATATGAGATAGACTCATTACATGCGAAGCAAGATATTTCTAGCCGTGATTTATCATAATTGTGATGATTATGGCTTACAGCTCATGAAAACCCCAAATCCGCAATCTCAGAAAATGAGAATATTGTGAAAAGGTGCAATATTCTAGGCTCAAAGTGTCCCACTCTAATCAACTAATTAATCTATGGGGCATTGCCAAGAGAAAGATGAGAGACATGAGACCGAACAATGCAGAAGAGCTGAAGGCTGCTATTGAAGCATCCTGGTCTTCCATAACACCTCAGCAGTGCCACAGGCTGATAGCTTCCATGCCACGCCGCACTGAGGCAGTAATTGCTGCAAAAGGGGCTCAAACGAAGTACTGAGTACATATGCATGCTTATACTTTTCAGAGGTCCAATATTGTTCTATGTACAATCCTTGTTTTATTGATTGCATGTAATATTCTAATTTTCTGAGATTGTGGATTTGGAGTTTTCATGAGCTGTAAGCCATAATCATCACAATTATGACAAATCACGGCTTGAACTATCTTGCTTTGCATGTAATGAGTCTATCTCATATATTAGTTTCACCTTTTAAGTTGCATTACTGAAATAAATGAACTTTTGAACGATATTCAAATTTTTCGAGTTTCCCCTTTATATATGCCACCAGAATAAATTTAAAATTAAACAAACCAAATGAATTTGAAGTGTGGACTTTCAGCTTTAATTCAAGGGGTTGAACATAAATATCAAGTACAAATTTTAGGAACTGCAACCATTTTTATACACAGTCCCTCCATTTTCAGGGGCTCAAATGAAATTGGACAAATGAATATAATCATAAATAAAATGTTCATTTATAATATTTTGCTAAGAATCCTTTACTGGCAATGACTGCCTGAAGTCTGAAACCCATGGACATTACCAAAAACTGTGTTTCCTCCTTTTTGATGCTTTGCCAGGCTCTAATTGCAGCTGTCTTCAGGTGCTCTTTGTTTGTGGGTTTTTCTGCCTTTAGTTTTGCCTTCAGCAAGTGAAATGCATGCTCAATTGGGTTGAGATCAGGTGATTGACTCAGCCACTGCAGAATATTCCACTTCTTTTCCTTCAAAAGCTCCTGGGTTGCTTTTGCAGTGTGTTTTGGATCACTGTCCATCTGTACTGTGAAGTGCCGTCCAATCAATTTTGCTAAATTTCGATGAATCTGGGCTGACAGTATGATTCTAAATACTGCAGAATTCATCCGGCTGCTTCTGTCACATCATCAATAAACACCAATGACCCAGTGCCACTGGAAGCCATGCCATCCTACTGCCTCCACCATGTTTTACAGATGATGTGTGCTTTGGATCATGAGTTCTTCCAAGCCTTCTCCACACTTTTTTTCTTCCTGTCATTCTGGTACAGATTATTCTTAGTTTCATCCGTCCAAAGAATGCTTTTCCAGAACTGGTCTGGCTTTTTTAGATGTTTTTTT